GAGGCTGGCATGAGTTTGTTTGTCATGGTCTTCGTGTGTGTGTGATCTTGCAGCTGAAGTCTGAGGCGGCGGGCATCGAGCACAGCCTGGACCAGCTGCTGCAACTGCAGTCAAAGGTGAGCATGAAGATACACGTGGTTGAGAAGCCCATGTGCTCACACAGCTTGACTTCTGTGTGGTGTGTTTGGTGCAGGTTGGTGGCTGTCTGTCGCAGATCAAGCAGCTGGAGCTGTCCAATGAAGACCCTGCACAGGTCAGTCAGTCAGGGCTGTGTGGCCCGATTGGTGGACTGACTTGTGGTCTCCTTTGTTTCTTCTCAACACTGCAGGCGTCTTGTCATGAGTCGTTGCGCCTTCAGCTGTCGCTGCTGGCCGGCCACTGCACGGCCTCTGTCAACCAGCTGTCGTGCTTGGCACCCGCCCTCTCCAGTGCCGTAGATGCGCTCACACCAGCAGGGGACGCACCGCCTACCACCTGCCCGGCAGCCGCAGCAACCGATGGGCAGACAGAGGTGCGCACGAAGAATGGCCACAACGGTCTGTGCATACGGGTGGTGTGTTGTCAGGTGGCTGCGGAGAGGCGTCCGTCGTATCGTCTAGTGCATAGGAGCGGCAATGCACCCATCCACCAAGGAGCGGTCAGAATGGCACCATCATAGATTTGGACATCGAATTGACCTATCGATGTCCTGTTCGTTGACACTTCAGGCTCGCCTTCGTCTGTCCCGTGACGCACTCTCCAACGTGTTCGGCCACCTGCAGCCATGGGAGCTGACGCGCTACCGCCGGCCCCTCGGCACGCCCCTCTTCCATCAGTCGGCCGCCAACTACACCAAACTGGTCATCGACTGGGAGAACGACACGGCGCGGCCCATGTGGGCGGCCATGCCGCTGCCCGTGGCACACAGATGGGGGCGCAGATCGATCAACATTCGAGAGGTCAAGCACCGCCATCCCGAGATGGGGGAGGGCTGGTGTCGCGGGACCTGGGCGAGTTTGGTGGAGGGTCACGCGAGCGGCCGGGTGTCCGTGGCAGAAAAGAAGATACGAGAGAGGGAAGGAGGGGAGGGGACAGCTGCTGCCGCGGCAGGGGGGCACGATGGCGATGACCCGGACGATGAGGGCACACTGGCAGTCTTGTCATTCGACCGCTGCATGGCCTTTGGTGACATCTCCCGCCGTCCCCCCTCACATGATCTGCCCCCCGCCCCCGCCGCCCCCGTCCACCTGCCGGCACTCAAGACGGTCGCCAACATACCCGACGAGTGCGCGTCCGCTCGCGCGGGCCGCAATTGGCGCACACGTGGGATCAAGACCCTCGGCCTGCGGCGGTTTGGTCACTTTCCATCCGACGGTGTGCATATGGAGAATGCGAAGGCACGGCTGGCGGACTGTGGCGGGCTTGAAGTGCTGGACGTCATCGATTCAGAAGTTGGCTGCGGTGAAATGGTGGGTGCGCTCAGTGAGCTGCCGCCGCACTCACTCTCGGGCCTCCGCACACTGCGGGGGCTGGCAGTGGCAGGCTATCCCTACAGGGGGTACTGGCAGGCTGGCAGCCTTGACGACATCGACAGGCTGCGTGAGGTGCTGGTGGCGAGGGGCGTGAAGCGGTCCATCAGAGAGCTCAAGATCGACATTGGCGAGGTGCTGCGGGACACAGACGAGCACTGGGAGATACTGCAGAAGACGGCACAGCTCGTGTAAGGACACCTAAGCAAAAGCATGTAGATAATTTCTGCTCACGTCCTCTCGACTGCGTGTATTTCTGCAGTGAAGCCGTCGCGCATCCCGATGCGCTTTCTCAGCACATCATGGGCTTCGGTTACTCGAATGGCGAAATCGATGCGGAGATTCTCTCCACCAGCCGCAGCAGCCTTGGCACTCCCACAGCGCAGAGGACCATTTGCGAATGCGCCAAGGTCGCTTGCATCGTGACCTATCGCGGATTCGACGATGAGGCCCATTCTCTGGCCGTCACCGACGACACATTCCCGACCGCCCACACCCTGCGGCTGGCAGGCGACGCCCTCGCCAACAACACCAAAAAGAAGAGGGTTCTCGAGGTCGCCTCGCGCATGCCCAACCTGTACAAAATCGAGGGAGGAGACGAGCATCACGGGGGCGTCCTCAACGCGCCTGTCAGTGAGGTGTGGCAGTTCCTCCACAAGCTGCAGAAGGAGATGACTAGCAGGGGGAGGGAGAGGAGCCTAGATGTGGAGCTGCTAAGCCTGTCGGCCAGCGCATTCACCGTGCCGTTGTACGACAGCCAGAGCCCCTGTCTGTGGGGGGGCCATTACAGCATGACTCTCGAAGAAGTGATTATCTACGTGTCAGGTGAGGGAGGGCGAACGGAAAGGCGCCAAAGACTCTGTGTATGGTGTTTGGAATCGTTCATTCCAGGCGGTGTGGCGGCTCATCTGTTGGAAACACTATATCAGCACGTCATGGCTATGGTGACTTCCTTCAATGATGAGTTGAAGGTCCGCGACAGCATACACTTCCACAAGGCGACAGGTAGTCCCTGGGTGATGGGTTTGTTTCCGTGCTTGTCGTCGTGTTGGTTGGATGGATGAAAGGGCCACAAGAGGACTATAGTCGAGTTTAACAACGCCGGCGTGTCCAACTACTTTAGGCATCGTTTCCTGGTAAACCAGGCCGCGCTCAACCTCAGTGGCGGGCCATACAAGCTCAGCCATCGTATCGCCGCTCTGTGTGTTGAGCGCCGCGACACGTAGGGCCCTTCATAGGTAAGGAGCACGTTCCACCCACCTAGTGTACCCATCACATCTGACTGCCTTTTGTGTCACGTCTGACTGCTCAGCCTCGATGGCGGCGGGCTGGTTGTAGAGCGCGGCGACACCGCCACATCTGTAAGGAAGACATCTCACACACGACAGCCGACGACGTATCTTGACTGTGTGTCTGTTCGGGTGTGTGGGGCCTGTCAGATTTAGTGGGCCGCAGATGATCCTGACGGCGTGCGTAGAATGGTGGGAGGACAGAGAGATGAGTGGCTAACTGGTTACCTGAACCCGGTTCTGACTGGCTAGCAGTGTAGCCTAGCCCGGTTTCTGACGTGTGTGCATGCTCGATGGTGTGTACTGTATACAATTTGACTGGCTGGGTTTATTTAATTCATGGAATGTCTTCATCCACAGGTCCCACGATCACTCGCTGCTATCACTCAATCACAGAGGGAGACAGATTTCGATCAGCAGGAAGGACGGCTAGGTCAGATGACGTGACGTGAGAGCGACATCTGCCACCATAACTGACTGACAACAAAGAAGTGACTAATGAATGAATGGCACACAGCCACAGCACCTCACAAACGGGCGCGCACAGGCCCGGCCAGAATACACTGCAACGACCCAAAGCCAAGAATTACACATGGACATCCACCCCCTGTTGCCATACGTCAGCAAGGCAGTCACCCGACAGAACCGTTGCGTGTCGGTCAGCCCCGACACATCGATCCAGGGAACCATCCCCTCACTCGCAGCACTCCCGTCATGCTTCAGCAGACGCCACACGACGTCGCCGCACACACCCTCCTGACACACACACACACACAGCGAAGTACAATAAACCACATTCGGCCTGCATTCGCGTGCCGCTTCGGGTCACCATGTATATTGCAATCCTCTGAGTCGTGGTCCCTCAACACGTCACGCAGACGAGAGACGCCGAGACGCTGCAGTGAGCACGTCGGCCTCAACAGCTCCTCAATCAGCTCAGCGATTCCCCCCATCCCTCCGAATGCCGCCGATTTCACAATGCGGTGGCTTATGGCCTCCAGCTGTACCAGTGGGCCGACGGGGATCCCTTGCTAGAGGTGCAGTCGACCGGTCAGCTGCTGGCGGTCCGCATCGCCTCTTTTGGTCGCGTTGACGATTTGCATCAAGACATAGCCAGAGGCATTCAGCTGTAAAGAGAGAGAACAAGACAAACAGAGTTTCATCACGGACGCACACCAGAGTGAGTGTGCCATGCTCGCCCGCCTCACCTGCTGCAGGATGTCTACGGTCTGGCGAAGGCCTCAGGGGACCCCTCCGCCCGCAGCAGCTCCATGACGTCTCTGTGGTTGAACCGCTCCATCTTTGCCAGCAGCCCTCGCTGTTGCGCCGCTGGCGCCTCTCGTCAGCTTCAGCACTCACACCTCCCCATAGGATGGCAGACGGCAATGCCCGCGTTTTGACCTCCGTACCACCAATCGCTGGCGGGTCACTGCAAGCCTGGTGTCCTTCCCTACAGTGTGGTTGACGGCGTCAACAAAATGGGGAGGCCATTGGCGGCGGGATGGTGCTCGACTCCTTCTTGTCCTGCACTTGGATGGACAGAATGACCTGAGTGACAACAGCACACAGATATGCACATCAGTGGCTGGATGCAGGATAATGGACAAGGTTTACCATCTGTTGACGTTCGTCATCCTGGATCTCTTGCTTTGTCGCCACACCGGCTCCGCTGCAGGCACTAGCAGCTTCGCGCGGGAGATCTGCAAGCTCAGCTCGCGGGAAATTGCGAGCTTTCGGAGAATGACGGCATCCGCCTTCGGTACGTAGCAGCAGCAGATCTCGACAATGTTTGAGAGCATCTTGGAGAAGGTGAGGCAGCCTAGCCTTGTGAATGCAATCAAGCACCATACAAACATTTGAATGATGCATGGCATGGGTTGATCTTTGAAGGTGCTCAACAAGTTTCTGGCTCCGTATGTGGAGGGCATCACGAGCGACCACCTGAAGCTGGGCGTGTGGAGCGGCAACATCAGCCTGTCGAGCCTCAAGGTCAAGCCCGAGATCACAGACATCCTCGACCTGCCGCTAGAGGTCGAACACGGACAGATTGACTCAATCGAGATCAAGATCCCCTGGCGGGCCCTCTACACCAAACCCGTCGTCATTTCCATTCGCACCGTGCACCTCTTCGTCAGCCAGCGGCAGTTCGAGCAGAAGGCCGAGCAGGACATTCTCAACAAACTGCAGGCCGCCAAACTCAGCCAGGTGGGTGTGCAGGACATGAATGGCTTAATGAACGGATCGGCCGGCCATCGTGTGGATGCACTGCACACCAATGCTGCTCGATCTGTTTGTGTGTCTGGTTGGTTGGCAGGTTGAGTTGCGTGAGCAGCAGTACGTCAATGTGTTGGAGGCGCAGAAGCAGCAGGGGGGCGAGAATGGCGGAGCGGACGCCTCGCCCGGGTGGGGTCTGCGGCTGCTCAACAAGATTGTCAACAACATCCAGATCGACGTCACTGACGTGCACGTGGCCTTCGCCGACAAGCAACGGGGGTTTACCATCGGCCTCATGCAGCAGACACTCTCCCTTCACAGGTAAGTAGGGACATACATCTCAACCACCACCCCAAACAACACATGAAGGGATCTGTGTGTCCTCTGTGGTGCAGCACCGATCGTTTCTGGAATAAGGCCATCGAGTCGGCCGAGGAGGAGCCCGCCAAGGCCGAGTCCGTGACGGCCCTCTACAAAGAGGCCGGCATCGAGGGGCTCGGCGTCTACGTTCAGACATACGCGCCCTCCTCGGCCGCCCAGGCCTCCCCGCAGCTGGACGCCGGCGCGTCGCCTTCACTTGAGAGCGAGGGAGGGGCGTGTAGCTACCACTATCTGCTGAAGCCGCTGCATCTGCGGCTGAGGGTGCACCACGACCCCAAGGACAAGGAGCTGCAGGCCAGGTGAGAGAGGGGAGGGAGGGAGGGAGGAGATGCCTGGTGTGTGAACGTGGGTGTCGATGTGTGTTGTCTTGTAGGTTGGAGATCGGCAAGGAGGCGCAGGGCATAGCGATATCGCGGGACCAGTTCATCACCATCCTGGACGTAGCACAGGACGCATCCATTCAGAAGAGCAAGTGAGATCGATGGAGGGTTACACACACACACTGATGATGTATCCTTTCTCTCTGCGTCGCCATCGGTCAGGGAGCGGCGTTTGCTTCTCCGCGATGCCCCTACTGTCCGGTTGGACCCCGACGGCATCCGCACCGAGACGCGGGACGAGTTCGTCAGCCTCTACACGAAACACATCAACTACGAGCTCAGTAAGCAGCAAGCAGTCATGACACGGTCGCCCGGGAGACCTGCTGTGTGATTGCTGGCTGGTGTGCTGTATTGTGTTGTGTTGTGTTGTTGCAGGTCTGGCTGGCTCGGTGGCCTTGAGCGAAGGGGAGAAGAGGCGCCTGCAGACCCTGCACAACGTCGTCGGCGTCAGACACGTATGAAAGGACAACACACTGACACACTGACACACACACCACCACCACTGTCTGGATGGATGTGTGCAGTTGGCCAAGTGGCGTGCTCAGTGTCGCGAGAAGGCCGAGCGGATCCTGGAGGGCACCAAGCAGAAGGAGAAGGCCGCAGTGGCCGAACAGAAGGCGAACCGGACATGGTGGCAGTGGGCGAGAGGGGTACGCTGACCTCACCTGACACAACCACAGCACCCACACGCGCATGGCTCTCGATGCAACCACACACACACGCGTGTCTGATTGCCATTCCTTCCTTGCTGTCTCAGGCCGAAGCGTCCAATGCGTCGAGTGCCTCGCCGACGTCGGAGCCCGTCCTCACGGCGGACGAAATCAAAGAAATCACCGACGCAGTGGAGGATGTGAACAACTTCGAGGAGGTGGAGATCCCCACCAAGTACAGCCTGGCCTTCCTGCTCTCCAACTTCTCCATCGAGCTGCACGATGACGCCCGAGCCAACCAGACGCAGCACATGAGGGGCGGGAGGATGTCGATCAAGGGCGGGGCTCCCCCGGCACCCCTGCCGCCCGTGGCCGAGGAGGGCACTGCACAGGACGCTGCTAATGCCGCGGCTGATGAGGTATCACTCGTGGATGGATGGATGGATGGATGGATGGACGCATTGTGTGTTGTGTGTTGTGTTTCGGTCTGTCAGAGCCGGTTGTTGGGTTTGGAGGTTCGTGGTTTTTCGGCGTCGGTGGATCTGCAGTCCAAGGTGGACCGCAACGACAGGGACAACACCGAGTGGAGGTTCGCCACCACCATGACCGACTTCTCTATCAAGTACGCGCGCACACGTGCACACACACAAACACATGGCATCGCGTGTCATATGCCTGGACGACGATTGCCTTGCGGCTGGTGTGTGTGTGGTGGATGCAGGCACCGGAAGGCTCCCGTGGTGTTTTTTCACGAGGAGGAGGAGATCAAAGACGGCGCCGGGTCGTCGGCTGAGCGCGTCGCCACCGACATGCGCATCTCCCACTCGATACAACCTGACGGCAACCTACTCAGCGCCCAACTCAGATGTCAGCCGGCTCAGTTCAAGATCGAGCCCACAGTGCTGGTCGATCTGCTCAGCTTCTTCGCCGTACCGCAGCGAGCAGCCAAGGCCGTCAAGGAACTCGCCGAAGCTGAGGCACCACCACCAGCGCCACCACCACCACCACCAGTAGCAGAGGAAAAGCCGCTACCGCCGCCAATCGAAACGGTCAGTGGACGGACGAGGTGCATTCACTCACCCACTGTACACTCCGTCTTCTGCGTTGTGTTGCCAATGCATTCAGGTGCGTGATGACTCGACGGCCGCCCCCTCCCTCCCCCGCAGCGAAGCACCTCCCTCGCCCGCACCAGCCGAGGAGCAAGAGCCAGCAGGTCCACCCCCTGGCCCCCAACTCCCGCCCAGTGAGCCCCCCTCGCCCATCGCTGGTGGCCTGACTGAGGCGGAGGAGGCCGACATAGTGCAGCAGATCCGGAACGACCTGATGGAGGACTTTGTCGAGCAGGGATACGACCGGTTCAGGCAGGCCGCAACCACAGCCACAGTGCCGGACAGGATCGCACTCGACATCTCAGTGGCAGGTCGGTGAGAGGATTGAGAAAAATCATGGTGGATGGAAGCTGTGCATGGTGAGTGTGCGTGTGTGTATGTGGTCTGATATCAGGTCCTGTGCTGCAAGTCGACACGGGTGGCTATGGTGTGGTTGAGGGCCATCTGGGTACCTTCCAGCTCAAGACCAACGGCCCGTGTGCGTACGAGGACGTGTCGGTGACGATGGAGCTGTTCGACACCCAGATCAAGTGCGTCAGGCGGGACGCCAAGACCGGCAAGGTCGAGGAGTACACCATCCTCAGGCCCGTCCCTGTGCACGTCAGGCTCGACCTCAAGAAACTCGAGGTCAGTGAGAGGTGACGTGCAGGCCGCCCCCAGGAAGGGAAGGACACCATGCACCATGCTTGCCTGCCTGCCTGCCTGCAGGATGTGGATCTGTCATTGGTTCTCGACGACATCTTCTTTGAGGTCGGGGCCGAGGCCGTCTGCATCCTCCTCGCCGTCCCCACCTCCTTCTCGTCAGCACTCGTCATATGGCAGCGGCAGCAGGAACAGGAGGCTCAGGCCAAAGCCAAAGAGGAGGGAGCAGGGGGGCTCGACAAGCCTAAGGCGCTTCCGGCAGCTCCTGAGAGTGCCGTCGCTGACGCCTCTGATGGGCTGGGGCTGCTGCCTCTGGGGCGGCAGGCGTCTCGTGAGAAACGGGCATCGTCCGTCACGTCGGTGCACCTGCTCAGCGCACTCAAGGCACAAGCCATGAAAGGTACGCAACAGAAGCCCCTTCTTTCCAACAAACAATCATCTGTCGCCCTCTGTCTGCCGCTTCAGAGAGCGAGAAAAGCGATGCCGGCGGCGTTGGTGGTGGTAGTGGTGGTGATAGTGAGGGCCCTCCACCCACGGAGGGCCCTAGTGGGACCCCGGAGGCCCACCCCGAGCGGCAGATCACCGCCTCGTTTCTCGTCCGCCATGTGGGCTTCGCCCTCTTCCAGGAGGAGAGGAAGGAGGTGCTGCGTGTGGAGGCCAACGGTGCGTCGTTCAAGGGCCAGTACAACACCAAGACGGAGTTCTTCTCCGCTGAGGTGGCTCTGGAGAAGGCCGAGGTGCGGGACCCGTTTCTCGACAATCGGATGCTCGTCACGCGAGAGCAAGAGGAGCCAGAGGGAGAGGGGGAAGGAGAGGAGGGCACAGAGGAGGATGCGGAGGAGGCGGACTTTGTGGATGCGGCGGAGGACCTCGGCGCGTCTTTGCTGTGCCGGTTCCAGAGCAAGCCCGTGTCGAGCGTGTTTGTGAAGCTGGCGCCCATCGAGGTGCAGTGGCACAGCCAGTCCATCAGCAACGTCGTGCACGTCATCGACAGCCTCAAGACGCACATCATCGAGGACTTCGAGACCACCAAGTCCAACTTCGAGGCCTCCGGCGCGCTGCAGATCTCACGCAAGGCCTCAAACCTCATCCAGAGAGACGTGCTGCCCCATTTTAGTCGGGAGTACACCCCACGCACATCACAACAACAGCAGCAGCAACCCGGTGGAATGGGCGGCGAGACCCCCACACCAGACCTGACCCTTCGCACCGAGTGGACCAAGACAGACGACATCTCGCCCGACACCGAGAGGCGGATTGCAGAGGGGCTCAGCCTGGAGGCCCCCCTGCCACCGCTGGAGAGCGAGAAATCGGCTGCAGAGGCGGCAAAGGTGACCACCAAGGTGGAGGTGGTGATCGACGGCGCCTACGTGTCCTTCTGGCGCGACAAGGCGGTCTTCTCGCGGATGGGTCTGCGTGACGTCCGTGTGGCGGGCGAGATGCTGAGCGAGGGGGACAGCAGGTACAGCGTGAGCATTGGGGGCGGTGTGGTGGACATCCATGAGAGGTGCATTGTGGCGCCGCGGCGTGACGAGAAGGAGGCGGTGCTGATGCGTTTCGATGTCAAGTGCTATGGCAAGAGGGAGGGGGTGGAGCGGCCATACACCACCTGCATCAAGGGGGACATATTCCAGGTACGCTGCACACGGTACGGTGCCCGCAGAGAGCCTCTTGTTGTGTGTGCTGCTGAGACCCTCACCTCGCTCGTGTGTGTGTGTGCGTGTGTGTGGTCGATTGGTCAGGTGTCCGTGCTGTATTACCAGAAGGACTGCAGCGAGCTGCTGTCTTATCTCAGTGACGGCATCATCAACGTGGTCATCACCAAATCAGCACAGGTCAGTGACACACACGGACGGCCAATACCCTCCCTCGCCTGTGTCACGTCTTCATGCGTTGAATGTCTGTCTGCAGGCGGTGAAGGAGGTGGCCTCCCACTCCTACTTCCTCTTCGCCTTCAATGTCGAGTGCCCCCTGCTCCATCTGCCCGAGGACAAGGCCCTCCTCACCTCCAGCCCCATGGCCGGCCCCGACCTCAAGAGCTTCCTCGACAGGCGGCAGGAGACCAGAAGACGCATTGCGGCCGCACGAGACCAACCCGGTGCTGCGGAGGGAGGTGTCTCTCTCCTCTCGCCCATTCCCGGCATCAGGCGCATGAATCGGTCCAAGCGGCGAGTGGTCATGGTGCTCAAACGGTCTGTGGACCTCAGCGACGTCGGCTCCTACGCCGTCTTCGACCTGGGCCACCTCAAGGTGCGCAACGGGTACGTGTACCCCTCGGCCACGCCCAACATCCGCGTCAAGAGGTCGGCAGATGATTGGGGGCACATCAAGGACGGCCTGGGCGAGAGAGAGGCCGGCCCGCATTTCGCCCTGCACCTGGAGATGGGCGGCATCCAGATGAACATGAAGCAGCCCTTTAGTGCGAGAGCGAGCATCGATGGTGGTGCTGGTGGTGGCGACGAGGGCGAGGCGGCGGGCAAGCTGCTGGAGAAGGTCGACGCTAAACTAGAGCTCGTCACAAGTACCATGCACCCCACACCCCCACCTACCCACGCATTCACCCACACACAGGCCGACCACTCTCTCCCTCTCTCTGTGTGCGTGTCTGTGTGTCTGTGTGTTGATCAGGTGACCCCATGACGATATCGATAGACTTCTCCCGCTTCCGGATGAAGCTCAGCCGCCCCCAGCTCACCCTCCTACTCGACATCGTCAACGAAAACCTCACAGGCAGGGGGTACCTCCCACAGCCCGCACTCACACCCGCCGCAGAGCCACCGCAACCGCCAGAGCCCACCATCTCCCGCTCGCACACCACGGGCGCCCCCATTCCAGGTCAGAGGAAGGACTCCCTCCCGCGCGAGGACGAGGAGCACATCCACAAGGCCCGTACCGTCGGCAGTCCGGGCGAGGCCGAGAAGATCCTGGCCGAGAGCAGACGGCGGTCGAGTGACGCCCCGCCGCCTCTGAGGGTCAGCGTGCGGGTGTGCATCCCTGCCATCGATATGGAGACGTCCTTCGGCCGCGTGACGCCCCTGGCGGCGGTGAACATGACGCAGCTGATGGTCTCGTGCGATGTCACCCTCACTGCACAGAGTGAGCGGGCGGGGAGGGAGGGAGGGAGGGGGGAAGGGGTCTCATGGCTCTCTGTCGCCTGTGTCAGGCATGGCGTATCAGTTCGGTCTCTTTGTGCAATCCTTCGACATTGACGACACGCGGATCGACACGCGAAATGTCTACAAGAAGCTCGCCGAGTGCTACCACGGTACGCACAAGACACAACACAACACGCCGACCACACACGGAAACACCCACCCACACGTATGATTTTCTCCCCTGCTCTGCTCTTCTGCCACGCACAGATGACCCCGTGAGCACTAGCGCCTCGTCCCCCAATCACGGCGACAAACGTGGCGACCAGGATGGCGGCCGCAGCACGTCCTACGTGTCCGACCAGGACGATTCCCCCTCTGTCAGCGGCAGCTCCGCCACCTACATCCCCCGACGCGCGCGTGCCGGCTTCGGTGGGTCCTTCATGGAGCCGCCCAACTTCGACGCCATGTCCATCAGCACCGACGCCCCCGTGGTGCGGCCGCCTGGGATTCGCTTCGTCCTGAGCCAGGGGGAGGAGAGGCTGGCGATGGAGGTGGTGCTGGAGAACCCGACAATCTACGTGCTGCTGGTGGAGATGCTGGACATCGCGGCGTGGGCCAACTCGGCGTGGGCGCTGTGCACCATGGCTATGTACCCTAAGCCGATTGTGCATGTCGAGACGGAGGCAGAGACGGACACGGATGAGGGTCGCGGGCCGCTGCCGCCGGTGAGCCCTCAGGCAGTGCAGGCAGGGGATATCACGCCTCCTGACCGAGACGTGCTCGACATCGAGATACCTCCACCAAGCAAAGAGGTCAGGGAGAGGGGGAGAAGGGGTGTGGGTCACCATCTCTGCCTCCCGTGTGTGGATGGATGGATGGATGTGTGTGTGCAGACGTCGGTGGAGGTGATAGTTCGCCACGGCAAGTTCAAGGTGTACACGGACATCGCCAACCCCAGCTCGCCCCTCATCCAGGGGTCCACCGACCTCAACGTCACCATATCCATGAAAGACCAAACCGTCGCCATCGAACGAATCGCCTTCTCAAGTACGCCAGACACCCCCTCCCCTCCCCTCCCCTCCCTCCCCAACTCGCAGAACCACATACTTGTCTGTGTGGATGTGTGTGTGCAGACTGCAGCATCAGCCGTCTTGAGATCCAGCAGGACGCACCAATGGGGCTGCAGAAGAAGCCGCCGGTGCCGCACTCGCCGACACTGATGCCGCCCAAGCCTCGCGTCGGCCCCAGCCACGCCGTCACTGCCACAACGGACGGCCGCAAGCGCGTCGACCGCGGAAGCACCCTGTTCCAGACGCGCAGTCAGGTGCTGCTGTGCGAAAACTTCCAGCTGCTTGGGTGGGGCACCTACATCAGCCCCCCGGACCATGAGGCGGAGGTGCGACTCGCATTCGACGTGCCAGGTGATGTGGGTCATTCAGACACACGACAGACAGGCCATCACTCACCATCTCTCTGTGTCCGTTCTCAGTGTTTTTGGTCCGTCTGTCGAGCCGGGATCTGGCGCTGGTCTTGGCGGCCATCTCCAACATCATGGCCGACACCCCCTCGGTGGCCCCCGACCTCACACAGATGAAGCTCGCCGCCTACGCAGACGCGGGGCCCATGCCTGACACCGAGGCGGCATCGTCGCCCCTGGAGGGCAGCCCAAAGGTGGGCCAGGTGATACAGGCCGACAGCGGCGTCAGCGGCCGGTCTACTTCTGGAAGTAAGCTGGAGGAGGCGGGTGGGGAGGGGACCGCCGCCGCGGCCAAGGGCATGATGGTGCTGGTGGACGTGTGTGTCAAGGGGGCCAACTGCTCGCTGCTCGACGATCTGAGGTGACTCATACACGCAAATTGACCCATTGCTTCCATGCATTCTCCGTGTGTGTGTGAGTGCAGGCCGACAGTGGTGCCAGTTGTCCGCCTCAACGTGGCCATCGGTTCGGTGCGCACCGTCCTCGACCCATCTGCCATGACCGTCTCGCTCAGCGACCTGGCCACCAAGATCGAGTACCTCAACCCACGTGTGGGCGAGTGGGAGCCTTTCCTAGAGCGCAGTCGCATCAACCTCGTCTACAAGAACTACAAGAACAAGCCGCCGCCTCTCGACTCAGTGGGCCGTGGCACCAGACCAGCTGCCGTGCCGAAGAGCAGGTGCCCGCCACCCATAGCAGCCGGGGGGCAGGACACCAAGGCGAGTGGATCGTCGAGCAGCAGCAGCAGCAGTGCGTCCAAAAAGGCCAAGGACCCCTGGGAGGGGTTCAACCCCAAGACACTGGTCAAGCTGGGCAGCCCGGCCCCTCTGTGGATCAACGTCACGCCGCAGCTGTGCCAGCTGATGATATGGTTCGTGCCCTATCTGCTGCAGAACCTCACCAGCACCACCGTCGAGAGCAAGGCCGAGGAGGAGACAGAGGACGAGGAGGCCAAGTACGCCCGCAGCGCCGCATTCCGCTGGGTCAATCTGACCTCACGGTCCTACAAGGCCTTCCCCGCCCTGGAGCCGTCAGAGGGTCCCACCACCGGCACACAACAGCAAGCGGCCGGGGCGGCGTCAAGTGGTGGTGGTGGTGAGGGTATGGAGGAGAAGCCCGAGAACCGAGACAGGATAGGGTTTGGGATGAGCCTGAGCTTGCCCCCGTGTGTGGTGGAGGCCCCGCTGGACACTCTCGTGGCGGGGGGCACCTCTGCCGAGGCACTCAGACACACAGCAGACCGCGGCAAGTAAGATACCCAGCCACACACACAGACACACGCACATCCGTAGGTGGAGTCATGGAAATCTGTGTGTGTGTGTGTGTGTCCCACTCAGGTACTTGTACATATCCGAGGCCGTTCCAGAGGAGGAGGTGTCCAAGCTCCAGAGCACCTTCCCCCGAGTGCGGCGGGAGCTCATTCACCGCGACCTCCTCCTCACGCGAGACCCCGTTCAGACCCAAGACAACCTCCTCTCCGGCACGGTCCGCGACGACCTGCCCCTGGGGCTGCCATGGGACTCAGTCATCCCACAGAAGCTCAAGGGCAAAGCCGGGCTGGTGCCGGTGCCCCTCTCCCGCAACAGCTGCGTGTGCATCCCGCCCTCACTCGTCAGCCCCCCCGCCTCTCACACCCACACGCACACACACACGGCCGGCTTGTCGGGCGAGCCCCAGGCCCCCCGGCCGCCCCCTCCGCTGTGTGAGGTGCTCTCGCCCCACCCATCCTTCAAGCTGATGATGATCACCACCCCTATCAAAGTCTACAACAGGTCGGGCATGCCCCTGGAATTCGCTTTTCTCGACCCGCAGCTGAGGGTGGTGCCTTTCCCGGCACTGAGGGAGAGGGTGGCGCCGCTGACTCTGCTGAGTCCGACGGTGAACGAGGCGGGCGAGTACAGAGAGGTGAATGCGTCGCCCCACTGGCTGCTCAAGATGCCCGAGAGCGCACAACCGCCGCCCCCGCCCCCCTCCTCATCGGGTGGGAAGGCCGCCGTCACGACGCGCGTGGTGGTGCCGCACGGGCACTTCCTCACCGTGCCTGAGGAGTGCTGCCTCTCTGCTGCAAGGTGAGCGTACAACACACCGCACGCTGATCGTTGCTGCATCTCTCGTGTGTGTCTGTGCGTGTGTGTGTGTGCGCAGGGCCATGATGTGTTTCCGTCCGGCGGCTTTGCAAGGCCGCCCTCTCCGCCCGGGCACTGAGCTGACGGGCGGGGCGGCCTTCTCGGAGCTGATCGACACTGAGCGGCATGCTGGGAGGAGCAGCATCAAGACGTCGGTCATTCAGTACGAGAAGAGGACAATGTATCTCAGCTACCACATCAATGTCGAATCGTGAGTTAGGGGTGGGGGAGGGAAAGGCCAGGAGCTCATGAAGTGTCTCTGTGTCTCTGTGTGTGTGTGTTGGTGTTGCTGTTGGTGTGGATGAGTGCAGGAAGGCGTCTCCCCTGCCGGCGGAGATCAAGCTCATCACCGTGCACATCTACCCCGCTCTCACACTGTAAGCCGCCTCCCACACACAAAACACAGCACAACACCCACCATTGAACTCTCTCTCTCTCTCTCCCTCCCTCTCCATGTGTCAGTGTCAACGGCACCCCCACCACGCTGGATGTCAACCTCCGGCAGCAGCCGATCCGCACCAACACCACCACCACCACCAGCGCAGCGGCCCCCGCCCAGCAGCGGCCCATCAACTTCAACGCCACCTTGGTGCCGCACTCGTCCTTTTTCGTCTACGAGGTCTCACCCGCACCTCAAGCACCCATCAACATGGCTTTGCGGTTCTCGGCACTGGACGACGCCGAGTGGTCAAAACCCATTGAAGACATCACCGACGTGCCAAAGGTGTGGAGAGAGAGAGAGAGAGAGAGGGGGAGGGAGGGGGGGAGGGGCGGAGGGGAGGTCATGTGTTGTGTGTGTTGTGTGAGCAGGATCCGGTGCAGGAGGTGCTGATGCCGTCCAAGCTGCAGGCGCCGGTGGAGCTGCAGGTGTACAGGGGGCCCAAGGCGCTCTCGGGCGGGGCCAGCCTCGCTCTCATCGACCCCAGGCAACACTCTGTCGTCATTTCTGCACCCAGGTGGGGTGAGGCCGGCCAGCCCTCTGCACCCATGAGCAAGCCCGACCTTCCACCCCCTGTGTGTGTGTGTGTGTGTGTGTAGGTGGTTTGTGGACCGCACCGGCTTGGGCATCCAGCCCACACTCGGCGGTCGTCGGCTGCCCGACTTCAACAACATATTCCTGTTGGGGCCGTCAGAGGTGGGTGAATCTCAATGCACCACCACCACGAGTGTGTCTGGTGCATGTATGGACGGATGTTCATCACGTTGATGGATCAGAAACCTCAAGTGGAGCTGCTGCTGCCCGAGCGCTATTGGATACGGGCAGGACACGGCACGAAGGAACCACCCAGGTCAGCCAGACGCCGCACACACAAGACAGCGACACACAGCATATGCCTGTTTGTGCCGACTGCGTCAATCAGGTGCGTGGCCGAGATCCCCACTTTGGGGGGCTTCAGCGAGACGGCCGTTTCCGGCGCGGGTCAGGCGTTCACGTTCTGCCTGCACGCCGACAAGGTGGCCCTCAACGAGACGGCCGGCGCCATGAGCCGCATCGTCACACTCGTCCCGCTCATGCTGCTCTCCAACGAGCTCGACGGACAGCTGCTCGTCAGGCAGGTCCACACACACGCCCCCAGACACGACGTCACCATTGCAGGTGAGAGGGTGCGGTCAGGCACACACAAACACACACACATGGGCGAGGCGAGAATGGGCGTGTGTGTCGTCTTGTTGGTCAGTGCCGGCCGGTGAGACGCGGCCCATCTACTGGTCTGACGAGAAGCAGCCTTTGGCCTTCCAGATCCGCCCCGAGAAGCCCGACGGCTGCCTGTGGTCGGGGCCCATTGTGGCCTCAGAGGAGACCACCGGATGCACCTCACTCGCCGTACTCAACAGCGAACAGGGAACTCCCTCCGTCCTGGCCATCGAGGTCAGGCACGCCCCCGCCCACCGACGCAGAACAAATGGCGATCTGTATGTGTTGTGTGCAGGTGAGTCCCGACCGTGGCGTCAAGACCGTGACGGTGCGGCCGGCGGAGGCGTCGCCCCACGCCTTTGTGGTGGTGAACCGGTGTCCCTTCCTGGAGGGCGTGGTGGTGATGCCGTTCCACCCCGAGATGCAGCAGGCCCGGGGCCACGGGACTTCCAAGGCCACACACCTGCCCCCGGAGCTGGAGATATTCTTCCAAGTCAAGGACAGGGCGGTGGTTGGGTGGACGCACCCCTTCACACACACCTCTAGACAGGTCTGTTGTGGGGAACAAAACGACAGAGAGACCGGCAGCCAGCCAGGTGTGGTGTGTGGGGGGGTGGTGCATATCACCTGCCTCTCTGCTCTCTCTCTCTCTCTCTCTGTGTGTGTGTGTGTGTGTGTTTAGGTGAGTTTGGTGCTGGTGATTGACAGCCAGACGGTCGCCCCCAAGATGCCCCTGGTCCTCAACCTCAAATCAGTCGGCTTCCAACCAAAGAGGTGAGAATCTCACCGGCAGCACAGCGAAAACCATCACTGCTTTCACTCACTCATCGTGTTTGTGTCCACCATCGATTAATTGACAGGTATGAGATATCAGATCTGCAGTCGATGGGCATCCACGAGCGCGTGTGGATCTCCACCGACAAGCGGGGCGACCTCACCATCATCGAGGTCAGGCCCAAGCAGCGCCGACGCCTTCAGGACATCATCCGCGAGAAGAACCTCATGCTGGCATCCATCAACGCCTTCACACGAGGGGCCAGGAGCAAGAGCGGCGAGGACAGGGAGATCGCCCATACGCAGCAGCCCCACCACCAGCCCCACCACCCCCACCACCCCCAGCAGCAGCAGCAGCAGCATGGACACAGAGAGGACCACACACAGACCGTGGACGCCTTGGCTGTGGCCGACCAGCCGACGGGCACGACTGCTGCGGGGAGGGACGCACCCGCAAAGCCCGACATCAAGGACGTCAGCCTGCAGTACGAGATCACTCTTGGACAGGTACACCCACACAGACTGTCTACGCACAAAGAGACAGAGACAGGGAGGGGGAGAAAGTGGGGGCAGCATCAATCAGCCTGTTTGGTGAATGTGTGTGTGTCTTGGCCGTCAGATCGGTCTCTCGTGTGTGTCTGACGCCCTCCGCGAGGAGCTGCTCTTCGCCGAGATGCAGCAGGTCACGTTTGTGATGTGCCAAAAGGGCGAGAACCAGCGCATCAACTTCGAGATCAGCGACATTCAGATCGACAGCCAGCTCGAGGCATCCGAGAAGCCCGTCCTCCTCGCCAACCGCGGCCTTCGCGGCGCCGAGGCATCAGGCGCGTCGAGCGCGTCAGCTGCCGTGGCAGAGGGTGTGACGGAGGTGGTGGGTACCGACGGGTACTGCCCGTTTCTGTCGCTGTTCATCGACAGGGGGTTCGCGTCGAGCCAGAGCGACTTGGTGATCCAGGCGGCGCACCTGTTTGTGGACAACCTTGAGGTGGAGTTCGATGACTGGATGCTCAACGGACTTTCGGTATATATGACAGGGAAGAGCAGCAGAATGGGAGGTGATGGATGGCGTCGTGTGTGTCTCTGTGTGTCCCCCTAGGGTTTCGTCACTGAGTGCCTGGAGTCCATCGGTGGCACCTCATCGACAGGTTTCACCAAGAGCGAGATCCTCTCGTGGAACAGCAAGCCCATCCACGACGGCTACACGCCCCCGCCCCTGCCGGGCGTCCTCACACTCGAGCAGCTGTACGTCCCCAAGTTCACCCTCTTCACATGGGTCTCCCTCGCACTGCGCCGCGTCGACTTCCTGCCCGACGTCATCAAGCTCGCCATACAGATGATCTCTTTCAGCGGCACACTCGAGCTCAAGGTCCGTGCCTGGAGAAAGAGCGATGGTTGAGAACCCGCTTTCCATGTGTGTGGTCTATCAGGGTGCGCCCATATGTCTTGAGGAGGAGAATCTCGCCAACGTTCGTGGCAGCGTCAACACGTTCATGACGACCTTCGCGGACAAGTACAACCAGAAGGTGCTGGGCTGTCTGCTGCCCATCCTGGGCCACTCGTCGCTGCTCAACGTGCCCAAGATTCCCCTCGAGCTCGGCAAGACCACCATCGGCTTTGCATTCACCGCCGCAAAGGACCTCCTGGGCGAGACGTCCAACCTCGTCGGGCAGCTCACCTTCGACAGGGAGTACATCAACAAAAGACAGAAGGAGCTGCGCTCCCGCCGTGCGCAGAATGTGGGCGAGGGGTTCGTCAACTTCGGCCGCAACGTGGGCGAGGGCATCCTGTCGGTGACCAACATCGTGACCAAGCCGATCGAGGGCGCCCAGCGGGAGGGCCTCAAGGGCTTCGTCAAGGGCATCGGCAAGGGCGTCATGGGCACGCTGGTCAAGCCGCTGGACAAGGTCGGTCAGGCCTTCAGCAGCCTGGCCGAGGGGGTGAGTGCAGACCTGCAGAAGCCACTCATGGGCGGCCAGAAGGCGCGCAGCGAGCGAAGGAGGAAACCCAGGATGCTCTGGGGAGAGCTAGGCGCCATCAGGTGGGTGGGGGGAATGGCAACACAGACAGACACGCACATGTAATGAATGGATGTGATGATTGATATCAGGGAGTACAGCTCGGAGGAAGCTGAGCTTCGGGAGACCCTCGGCCTGGGACTCGCCAAGAACATTCTCGACTGCATTACCGTCAGAAAGTACGCACGCACTCTCTGCGCGTGTGGGTATGTCTTTCTCTGCATTGCAATGCATGTGCTGATGGCTGGCAGGGCGCAGACGAGCTCAGCGACGGTGGTGCCTACGGGCGGGAGCACCGACTTCTGGGGCACGACCAAGGGGGCCCAGATGGAGCACCTGGCACTGCTCTTCTACCCCAAGTACCTGGCCTACACCGACCTGGGCGGGGGCGATGCCGACCACACATATGCCAGTGGCACCAGCTACAGCACCGACAGGGGGCCCACCGCACGGCGGCGGTGGCAGGTCAAGATCTCCGACATCGCTGACGTCAGGGTCTCGTCGCACGGTGTCATCATCAGGTCAGACACTCTCAGCAACACACACACACACACACATGAGCAAAGGTGTGAGTGTGTGTGTGTGTGTGTTGTGTGCAGGGTCAAGAGTGGTACGGCGTATCAGATCCCGTGCACGTCTGCGAGTCTGATGCGACTGCTGTATAGCAAGATCAGCCGGGTGGTGGAGCAGCAGCAGGGAATGGCCGGCTGGAGCTATGACGACTGAAGATGGAATGGCGGGGGGATGAATAGATCGATATGAGAGAGGGATGGTTTGGCTTTCTCGTTCTTCTTGACACGACTTACTTGTCCACACCACCTGCCTTGATAGTTGTACAGCGACACCCAGCCACCGACCCACCGAGCTGCCTTGTTACCCGAGAGAGTGTGTCTATCGCATTGATCCCCACGGATCGTGACGTTTCTTTATCTATGGGATGGATGGATGGATGGATGGAAGGACGAATGTGAGCAAGAGACGGATACCTCAGCCACTGTGTGTGTAGTGTGTGTGGAGTACTTTGTAAGGTGTAGGACGTGTGTGTGGCAGACAGCCGGATGGATGCCATGGTCGGCGGTGTGCCAGACAGACACCGATGGATGGATGGATGGACGTGACATTTGTGTACTTTCTGCAAATCGACACGCACTTTCTGATCCGTCGCTTCTCTGGGACACATTGAACCGCAGCCAGCCAGCCACAAGGAGGTCACCAACACAAACACACATACACGCACCGAGCCGAGCCGAGCAAGAAGGTGCCTGTCTAAAAGTGTGTAGCAGGCATTGCAGCCGTGGGTGGGAGCTGCCTGTCTGTCTGTCTGTTTATCCGCCATCTGTCCATCATGCTATTAGCTGCTCCCTCACGCAGCATCCGCCCGAGCACCCACACCCCCCCAGCCGCCGTCAGATCTGACAACACACATATCAGAGGGGGATAGCTGGTGACGCCCCCATTTATCGTTCGGCGTCCTCACCTACGGTAAGCCATTCACCTGAGGGATGGTTACGTGCGGCGCTCGACAACCAGCGCGTAACGAAAGAAGCGATGGAAGCTGAACTTGTACGGCCCACCGCTGAAGTTGAGGCCAACCTGCTCAGTCAGGAAACGCCGCTCGAAGTCGGCCGCAGCCTCCTCGTCGTTCCATCAGTACACTTCGGTCTTCTTGTGGCCCTGTCATTGATTCGGGCAACAGGACAGTGGGCACACACACATCGCCCCGCAGCTGTCTGTGTGGGTGGTTTGAGGCGCACCTTGAGCTCGTTGCTGAATGAGGCCACAGAGGCCATCACGCGCCGGTAGAAGGGCTCCAAGTCGTCATCCTCTACACCGCCTACAATGAAGTAACACGGACAATACACACGGGCGCCATGTGTGGTGGTTCTCCCACGCACTCCCGTCCCGCCTCACCATCCACGGTGATCGTCACGTCCTCGACCGGCGGCAGCTTGTCGTTGCTGCGACGCCCCCACAGACACGGGCTCCGGTCAGTGTGCACGGGCTCCACAACTGCACTTGCCGGCAGACGCATCTCCACCGACAAGCTTCTCTCTCTCCCCTTGCTGACCAGCGCCGTCTGCAGCCGCTCGAGGAACGTCCACACCTCACCAGCAGGTGTGTGAAAGGGGTCTTCTGCCTGGATGTGTGACAGGTTGGGCATGTTGGAGGCGATCTCGACTGCGCGCTCCTTCTTGGCCTCATCGTCGAGGGCACCGCTTTCAAGCTGCAGTTTGCTAGCGGTGGGGAATGTGCCGTCTGCAGGGATGGTCCCGTCTTCTCCTCGGTACGACACGGTAGCAGCCGTCTTGGCGAAATCACTGATGAGGGTCTGGACGGTGGGGGTAGCAGTTCTGCTGCGGGAGAGGAGTCCCACGTCAAAGAAACCGTCCGTGGCTGCGCGGACAATCGGCTGCGAAAACGCCTCACGATGCGCAACGGCATCACTGCAGAAAAGACGACCACATCGGTGTGCGTCACGCAGACCTGACCTTCCCCTTCCCATGTGTCCTTACACGAGCTGTGCGGCCTTCTGCAGTCTCTCCCAGTCCTCGTCTGTGTACGAACGAACACCACGCATGTCGATCTTGAGCTCGCTGATCCACCGCTTGGCGCCCCTCCCCACCAGCACCTCACGCAGTCGGTCGATGTCAGCGGGGCCACCCCGACCAACCCGGACGCCTCGCAGAGTGCGAAGTGACCCGAGCGACTTCCCGTCAGCGGGCAGCGCACTCAGCACATCCACCGCATCGTCGGCGCCCAACATGGCGGGGTCGAGCACCTCAATGGCCTCGCAGCCGTTTAGCCACGCCTTCACAGCCTCCTTGGACGCACCAAAATGGACTCGAGTGATGAGCGTCTTGATGGCAGGTGTCCGCCACGGGCGCCCCACGCGAGCAGCCAGGCACTCATCGGGTATGTTGTCGACGGTTTTGAGTGCCGGCAGGTGGACGGGGGCGGAGCGGGCGGCGGGCAGGGCAGATGAGGGGGGAGGGCGGGGGAGGCGACTGATGTCGTCGAGCTCGACGGCCTCGAATGACAGCACCTCCAATGTGCCCTCGTCGGCCGACCAGCTGCCGTCATCATCTTGCTCTGCCGCGGCAGCAGCAGTCCCCTCCCCGCCCTCCCTCTCCCGTCGCTTCTTGTCTGCGATGGCCGCCCGGCCGACGGCGTGTCCCTCCACTAAGGCCATCCACGTCCCGCGACACCAGCCCTCTCGGCCCGCGGGATGGCGACGCTTGATCTCTCGCACGTTGGTCGCCCTCTTGCCCCATCTCTGCGCCACGGCCAGCGGCATGGTCTCCCACATGCGCCGCGCCTTGTCGCCCTTACAGTCGATGACCAGCTTGGTGTAGGTGGCGGCCGACTGATGGAAGAGGGGCGTGCCGAGGGGCCGGCGGTGGCGCGTCAAGTGAAGGCTGCAGGTGGCCGAACACATTGGAGAGTGCGTCACGGGACAGACGAAGGCGGGCCTGAATTGTCAACCAACAGGACATCAGTGGGTATGTGTGTATCTGATGTATGCGTGGCTCTTACCGGGTCCTCGTCGGGTGGTGGTGCATTGCCGCTCCTATGCACTAGACGATATGACGGACGCCTCTCCGCAGCCACCTGACATCACACCACAGCAAGGTAAAAGGCGAACCCCCTTATGCACAGTCCGTTGTGGCCATTCTTCGTGCGCACCTCTGTCTGCCCATCGGTTGCTGCGGCTGCCGGGCTGATGGTAGGCGGTGCGTCCCCTACTGGTGTGAGCGCATCTACGGCACTGGAGAGGGCGGGTGCCAAGCACGACAGCTGGTTGACAGAGGCCGTGCAGTGGCCGGCCAGCAGCGACAGCTGAAGGCGCAACGACTCATGACAAGACGCCTGCAGTGTTGAGAAGAGACAAAAAAGACCACAAGTCAGTCGACCAATCGGGCCACACAGCCCTGACTGACTGACCTGTGCAGGGCCGTCATTGGACAGCTCCAGCTGCTTGATCTGCGACAGACAGCCACCAACCTGCACCAAACACACCACACAGAAGTCAAGCTGTGTGAGCACATGGGCTTCTCAACCACGTGTATCTTCATGCTCACCTTTGACTGCAGTTGCAGCAGCTGGTCCAGGCTGTGCTCGATGCCCGCCGCCTCAGACTTCAGCTGCAAGATCACACACACACGAAGACCATGACAAACAAACTCATGCCAGCCTCCCAACTCGCAACCGCTCACCGCATCCATGAGAAGCCCTCAACGCCAAACTCTGCACAGATCTGCCGTGTACCACATCATGCTCTAACCCGAAAGAGGCACGCAAGGAATGCATTCTTCCGCATTCATCGTCCCACACAGTAAACACCGCCCGCTCGTCATGGACGGCGACTATTTGAGCTGACGTTCATCGGCTCTGACACTCGCTCTCGTCCCCCCACGGCACAATTGCCACGGCATCGTGACGGCGTTGGAGGCTCTTGCGGACGGCAGTGTAGCGGCAGCCAATTGGCGGCAGCTCATCCGGCCACAGTCGAGCCGTCCTGAGAACAGCTCATCAGACGGCCAGCGCGAGCGGGTCAGCCGCTCCCCACAGGCCTGCAGGGGCTCAACGGCATAGCAGCTGTTGACAGGCCCACCGTCCATCTGGGAGGCCCAGCCAGGGCAACGCACTCGCCATGTCGGCGTGCGAGGTTGACCTATACAACGACCCGACTCTCTATGACAAGTACGATGTCGTTGGTGAGCTGGGCGCCGGTTCGTTCGGCAAGGTGGTGCTGGTGTGGGAGAAGGGCAAAGGGCCGGCGGGCCGTCTGTTCGCGGCCAAGGTCCAGGACTTCTCGACCTGCTGGGAGGGTATCCCTGTCGAGGCGGTCCGCGACGTGGTGAGGTTGGGAGGCAGGGAGGGAGGGGTGGGTGGGCGTGTGATGTGTGGCGGGTGTGGATGT